GTCCATCACTAGGGGCCACCTCGATCTGGACGATGAAGTGTTTCTGGTCGCTGGACACGCGATCATTGATGATAGATTTGTACAGCATCAGCCACCATTTACTGCGGACACTAAGCACCGGTGGTTTTAGTTGTGAGGCCCTGCGAATCTTCTTCAGAGTGATTATGGCGCACGAGTTACGCAGGTCATCTAACAGGTGGTTAAGGTGCTGCACGACAACCAAACCGGCTCGCTGTACCAGCGCGTTGTCCGTATCGACGGCGACTTCCCTTTGACATATACAGTAATAGATGGGCACTCCGGCTTCGTCACAAGTCCTCGTTGAACTGATGCGGTGAAAAATGCTGATTGATCTGGTAGGCGGTGCGGAAAGACTTGTACCTTCTGCCAGTTGTTCCCAACTGCCACTCTGATAAATGTGCCTCAAAGTAGCGTAGAGATCAAAATGTGTAATCAACAGACGGCTGTTCTGATCGAGCACTGACTTCAGATTCGAATACCTCCGTTGAACCCAATCTGGCAATGCGATCGTAAATAACGGCATATTTTCTTCAAGGCGGCCGGCCACCGTCTGTCTGATGCTGCTAAAACGCTGTCCATGGTCGGCGAAAACAAACGTTATGGAATTGTTCAGATAAGGATGAATGCGCGTAAAGAAATCAGCGAGGTCTTTATCTGCCACCTGACCCTGGTTTAGCCAGTCATGCGTGATCTCACTTAACCAGCTGAGAACGAACGTTTGCGAGCCTTGGTATTTCTGTAGAAAGTCCAATAAGTAATGCAACTGAAATCGATGTGTAGGTGTATTTCCGATGCACAGGTGCGTACTGCGTAGATGCAGAAAACTTTTCCATACCTTAAGCCAGAACGGTCTTAAATAATGATCAGTTGGTCTGAATCGAAAGCCCTTCATACCATACGAGAATAGACCCAACGACGGCATATCTTCCGCGAAAAGAGTGATGTAGCCACGTCGTGAATAGCTTTTCCAGATCAAGGGCCAGTCATCAAAAAATTCACCACCAACATCCTCCGGCACTTCTGACTTTTCGCCGGGTGAAGTTTCGACCCGCTTACCAGCGAGGAATGCCAGAGCATTTGGAAAGCTGTTGTCTGCTACTTTATTATAACCGGCAAATACTGTCGCATGATAAAGGTCAGATAGTACCGCCAGTGTCTGCGGGAAACA